CCCAAAGGCACGGGATTACAGGCTGAGCCACCGAGCCCGGCTGAGCAGAATTTTTTACTGCAATCACCAAGAGTCCATTCAGTCAAATGTCTTATCTATAACAACACCTGCAAGAGTTCTTGGCTCAAATATTGATCAATAGAAGTGAAATTGTTGAAAATGACTGAAAGCAAGCTGGGCTCGGTGGCTCAACCTGTAATCCTGTGCTTGGGAGGCTGAGGTGAGTGGATTGTCTGACCCCGCGGGTTCGAGACCCACCTGGGCAACTTGGCAAGACCTCATCTCTACAATAAATCAAAAATCAGCCGGGCGTGATAGCACGCACCTGTAGTTCCAGCTACTTGGAAGGCGGAAGGATCGCTTGAGCCCAGCAGGTAGAGGCTGCAGTGGCTGTGAGCATGCTACTGCACTTCAGTTTGTGCAGAGTTCCAGCCTCCAGAGAACAGGGCCTGAGTTGGGGGGAGGGAATGAGAAAGAAAAACAAAGAACAGCAGGATTGAGAGGACTCTCTCCTAGATAGGTGAGAGCCATTTTATTCTCACAGCATGCCCTTTATATAAGACCAAACTACATAAACAGAAAATAGCTTAATGCTAACATCAGCAAGAAAAAGGTTAATGCTTGTGACTTTCTTGGCAAGATTACTATAACACTACATCTTTGTTTATTTGGGAGTCTACGTAAAACTACTAACATCTATGTTCTCTGAAGTTTTAAGTAAAGTTATTATTAAAGCAGGCTACATCCAGCCTACGCAGACTAGAGGTCACACTATCTTAATCCTACTAAATCAACACTCTCAGGGGCAAACATCGAGAGAAGGAAGTACTGGCCAAGCTCTTGTTGGAGCCAGGCCGGGAACACAAGGACCTTGTCAGCTTATGTCTTCTGTCTCCTTCATCTCCTCCTTTTCTTTTTCTTTTAAGCACAGTTTGTGGACCTCTATTCTGAGTTCTCAGATGGCCCGTTCTCCTCCTCAGACACAGACTGGAAAACAAAACAGTAAAACCAAAATTAAAACTCCAAATGCTATCATAGGATATACAGCAGATCACAAACTACGAGTGGATATCAAATGCATAATCTTATCCATGATGTTTGTTGCCAAAGTACTGGTGGGCAGCAAAGACCCAGACGTGGAGATTTCTACAACATCCGATGCAATTGGGCAACAACCAAGGAAATATTACTTGCAGACCATATCCCAAGCAAATCGTTTTTAACCAAGTCCCAGTTCCATTCAGAGTCATTGCATGGCTTTGAAGTAACACAGACCCATTGAAACTGGAAACTCGGCATGACAGCTTAATGACACTTGGGTTTTTAAAGCTATAAGTTGGTCTCCAATGACTAACACTGCCTCCTCGAGGGCAATGAGTATGGCTTCCAATTTCACATCAATGGCTTCTTGATGGGCTAGCGCTATAGAAATATTCTTTTTTTTTTTGAGTTGGAGTCTCACTCTGTCACCCAGACTGGAGTGCAGTGGCCACTCCCAGCCACCACAGCCTTGACCTGCTGGGCTCTAACGATCCTTCCGCCTCAGCCTTCCAAGTAGCTGGAACTACAGGCGTGCGCTACCATGCCCGGCTAATTTTTGATTTATTGTAAAGAGGAGGGCTTGCCAAGTTGCCCAGGCAGGTCTCGAACCCACAAGCTCAGGCAATCCACTCACCTCAACCTCCCAAGCGTGGGATTACAGGCTGAGCCACCGAGCCCGGTTTAAATATTCTTACCAAATGATCCACATAATGGGCTATGTGGATCTCCTGAGTCAATACTATTGCTAAAGCAGTAGCTGAAGCAATCAATGTTAAGAAAGCAGTAGTACCTGCTACTAATAATCCAATAAACCTGCGAGGGCGATCAAGTAGATTAGACAATTGAGACAAAGCATGCCAACTAGAATCTTGATACCATGGTCCAGAGATATTTTACAGGCATCATAACAAAAGAAGGTTGGTGCAAAACCACAACTTGTTGTCCCCCATTCTCAGGAGCTACACAATTAGTAAGATTACAATAAGTACATTTCCAAACACCCAACTGCGGCCAACCCGCGGAGGTGGAGAGGATAGTCTCCACCCATCCACCACCCATCCACCAAAGGTCTCAGCACGTCGTAGTTCAGTTTTAACTAAAGGATCAGGGGCAGCCCAATCCGTAACTCCTTCTCTAGTGTGAGGAATGTGGTGCCAAGTGGCTACAGAGTAATGGCGCTGCCGCCATGGGGGGAAATGGGAGAACAAAAAGTTTTCGGCCTCAGAGCATAATGGGATCCCAGAAGGAGGGGTTTCAGTAGATGTGGTACGAGAGCGTGGGGGCCCATAAAGGGACATGACCCACTTCCTTTCCTTCCACGGCTGATGTTCCATTCCATGGGAGACAAACCCATGAGTATATTTAAAGGTGAGAGTAATAGGAACACAGCCTGAGTCTCTGGCAGTAGTGGGGTGCCATAAGCGAGAAAATACAAATGGGAGTCCGTGAAGAACGTCCTTCATAGGAAAATCCATCTAGCCATTGTGGAATAATAGAGTCAGTAGAAGGGTACCCAAGTAAAGAAGCATTGCTAACATATACAGGGACCGAGGGATCATCCCAGACCACCACCCTTAAAAAAGGGGGGGTCAGGCACATAGGCCCAATAGGGGGATCCGTCACCGGCCACCACACCCACCTGGCAGGCGACCACAGTCATCATAGACAGGAACAGGGTAGCAGGATCAGAAGCATTCCCGCCATGCTCCTGCACCAGACGTTCAGCTTGGGAAGTCAGCGCCTTCAGTTGCCCCCACGTTGGGGCCCTGCTCCGTCGTGTCGCACTGGAATGAGGGATTTGTTGAAGCGGGACGTTGGTCATCCTCCTGAATGAGGGAATCGGTGGCCCCACCTGCACGGGAGCGGGGGACTGGAGTAGGGGCAGATGAGCCGGGCTGGGAGCCATCGGGGACCTTCCACATTTCTAGGAAAAATACAAGCACTGCCTCGTTCCCAAACGAGTACAGGGTCAGGCCCCTGCCATAACCCTGTCATAGGATCTTTCCAGTGAACCAAAGCCTCTGCCTTAGGTGACGGGCGCCAGAAACGTTCCGCCGCTGACACTCCATCACGGTCTAAATCGAAAAAATTGATAATTAATAGAGCATGTGCTAACAGAGCACATGGGGAGGAATGTCCATATTACCCCCTTTTCAATTTTTGCAACTGCACCTTCAACGTTCTGTTAGCCCTCTCAACAATTCCTTGTCCCTGAGGATTATAAGGAATTCCAGTGGAATGGGAGCTCTGGAAAGTGGCACAAAAATTTGCAAAGGCCTGGCCAGTATAGGCAGGGCCACTGTCAGTCTTAATAGATTTAGGGATACCCATAACAGCAAAGGCTGCAAGCAATGAGCTGTCACATAACGAGCAGCCTCACCTGAACGAGCGGAGGCAAAAGGAAAACCAGAACAGGTATCCACGGTAATGTGAACATAAGCTAACTTTCCAAAAGAGGGGACATGTGTCGCATCCATTTGCCAGAGATGTCCTGGCAAGAGGCCCCTAGGATTCACACCTGTGGAAGGAGGGTACCGAAACTATGGGCAAACAGGACAATCATTAACTATCTGACGTGGGGCTTCTCTGGAAAGTGCAAATTGGTGACGCAAATTCTGAGCATTTTGATGATAAAGGGCGTGAGAAGCAGCGGCCGCTGAAGCAGGGGATAACAATGGGAAAGCAAAAAACCGTGTCCTTGCGTCAGCCAAAGCATTGCCCTCAGACAAAGGCCCAGGCAGCGCAGAATGAGCACGAATATGTGCAACATAAAAAGGGGCGGAGCCGGGCTCGGTGGCTCAGCCTGTCATCCCGCGCATTTGGGAGGTTGAGGTGAGTGGATTGCCTGAGCCTGCGGGTTCGAGACCCGCCTGGGCAGGCGAGACCTCATCTCTACAATAAATCAAAAAAATCAGCCGAGCGTGGTAGTGCATGCCTGTAATTCCGGCTACTTGGAAGGCTGAGGCGGAAGGATCGCCGGAGCCCAGCAGGTCGAGGCTGCAGTGGCCGGGAGCGGCCACTGCACTCCAGTCTGGGTGACAGAGTGAGACTCCAACTCAAAAATAAATAAATAAATAAATAAAATAAAAAGGGGCGGTGTGGGCCTGGATTCATGTCTGAATTTCCTGTAAAAGGGAAAGTATTTCATGAAAAGAAACGGAGACAGGCAAACTAGCAGTTTCCAAATGAGATAAAACAATGGTAATATAGTGACTATCTGTAAACAAATTAAAACATATGTTAGAGAGTTGGAGAAAAACCTGGCAGACCGCAAACAATTCCACTCACTGAGCAGAGTTGTAGCCTGTTTGGAAATGGGAAACAGTACCATCAATGACAGCAGTTGGGGTTCCCGAGAAAGACCCACCAGTGAAAACTAGTTTCACATCCTGCAAGTGTTGGGTGCTTGTAACCTGAGGAAAAATAAAGGGATGATCCTCTGCGAATGTAAGGGGAGGGTGGACAGTGAGAATCCAGCTGTCCAGAGAAATGGGCCATGGCCAGCTGCCATGCAGAACATAACTCCCAGAGCCATGACATCTGGGGGCCTGTGTAGGGAACCACAATTAGAGCGGGCTCCTGGCCAAAAAGTTCCCGAACCCGACACTGACCTCTGATAATAAGGAGGGTGACAGACTCCTAATACGGGGTAACCGTGTATCGTCGGGATGCAGCCGTTCCACAGGTCCTTGTTGCCAAAAAACTCCTGTGGATAAATAAGGTATAGGCAATATTAATAGAGACCAAGGCTCAGTGACAGAAATGTGAGAGACCTGCTGTGCAGCGATCGCTTCCTGTACCATTTGTAAGGTGATTTGGGCCTCAGGGATAAAGTGCCATGGAGATCGAGGGTCAGAATCTCCTTTTAAGATATCAAAGAGCCGGGCTCAGTGGCTCAGCCTGTCATCCCGCGCCTTTGGGAGGCTGAGGTGAGTGGATGCCTGAGCCCGCAGGTTCGAGACCCGCCTGG